CACGCGCCGGCCTCATTTCAATGTGAATGGATCGAATGGAGCAGCCATGTGGCAGCAACAGTTTGCAAATCTCCCCGCCTTCTGTGCTGCTCCCCCGGCCGCCTCTCCCTGCACGTGGCCCCTACTCTGGGCGACCGCAGAGGCACTCCTCGGGGCTTAAGTGCCCTGCCCAACCAAGCCTGCTCTCCGCCCCCCGCCCCCCTGCTCTCCTACCTGGTGCCATTGGCCCGGGAGAACGCGGTCCCAGGGCTGGGGGAGGGGGTGGGGGTGGGCGAATAGGCTACCCAGTAGGGAGGGATCCCTGTCGTACCCCAGTAACCCGGGGTCAGCTTGAGGGCACGGCTGGAAGATAACCTTGGAGCTTCACGCGGGGTGCGGTTCTGCCTGCTGGGGGGGCTTTGTGCAGCTGGCAAGCAGAGAGGGCTGCAGAAGCAGAAGGCCCCCCCGAAGAGGAGGCTGTGGAGTCTTGCATGGAGCTGGGCCTCCACCCGGCTCCCGCTCGGTGCCGGGTAGGGTGAGGAACTGCAGCCCCGGCTGAGGTCTGCGGGCCGGCGTCCGTCTACAGTTGGCAGGGTCAGAAGACACCCACCTGGAGTCTTCTGTGATTTTCGGCCTCCCATCACCTCACAGCCTCCTGTTCCTGGGACCCCCAGGACTCACGTGTTGGGTTCTTCTGTCCACAAGTCGGGAGTGGGAGAAAAGGGGGGGAGCCCCAGCTGTGGAGGCTTCGAATTTCGGTTTCCTGCCCGCAGTCCGACCCTCTCCTGCTCAGCAAAATGGGCAAAGCTTGCCCAGCCAGTGTTGCTCAGTGGTTGAGCTTTGACCTACGAACCAGATCACAATTCCATTTTGGTTAGGGCATATGCCCGGGTTGCCGGCTCAATCCTCTGTAGGGGGCGTGCAGAAGGCAGCTGATCACTGATTCTCATCCGTGTTTCTCTCTCCCCGCCCCCCTCCCTTCCTCTCTGAAATCAATAAATATATATTTAATAAAAAAGTGGGCAAAGCTGGAGCTCATGTGGGCACCAGAGCCGGCGGCAGAGTCCCGGTGGGATAATTCATCTCAAATAGGTGCTTCATCAATGGCTTTCGCTGGTGATGTCTTTCCTCCTCAGGTGAGAGGATTCCTAGGTTTCTGGGATCCCTTGCATTTCCTGCCTCTGAGGAAAATGGTGATACTTTTGTTGGGTCTTTGTGTCCAAAGTGCTTTCGGACATGTTAGTCCGATGTGCATGAGGACAGAGAGTGTTCCAGATCTACGCTACTAAGCAAATGCCTCCTGTGGGACTGGATGTCTCCCTGACGGTCAGGCACATGCCAGCGCCAGAAAAGAACAGAGCTTTTATGAATTCCCAGGCCAGGTTTTGGGGGTAAGTGGACAAGAAGTAGGCAGGGCTGGAGGTCAGCTCCGAGGAGTGAAGGACACTCTTTGGCACCCTAGGCAGGTCTAGGGACCCACAGAGTATGGCCGAGAGAGGGTGGAAAGCCCACTTACCAGGCTGGCCGGGAGGCATGCCCCGGGCTCCCTCGCCCTGGGGCCTGGGGACGCCGCCTGCCCATAACCTACATTAACTCTGGAGCGCAGCCTGGGCCCATCTGCCGGCCCCCGCCCCACCTCGGTTCCCCACGCCAAACCCCTCGCGCCAGATGGTGGCTGGGAGGGGTGACCGTGCGTGGGGGACCCCGGAGCCCGTCTCTTCACCTCGCCCCTCCCCCAACCCACGCTCTCAACTTCTTGTTTCTCTCATCCCCCCCCCATCCTTCACCACCACCCCAAGTCAAAAAATCAGACCATGCTCAGCAAAGGCAGCTGTTGGGCTCCATTCCGAGCCCCCCTCAGCCTCTCCCGGGCCCGCGCCGCGTCCCTGCTCCCCCCGCCGCGATCTTATCGCCCGACGACAGCCATCGCTGTTCCGGC